TTTACCAGCCTCTCAAATATTGGTATTCCCAGGCTCTACATTTCTATTTTCTCTTTTTTTACTCATATTCTCCTTTTAAGCATGATGTTATGCCTGAAGATTTTAGCTTTCACACACAGATGTACATGCACATACACACAGGTGCACACAGTAAATTATCAAATATGCACTTACAGTTCAGGCCTCTGTCCTGAAAAATAGCATTTTATATCCAACTGTCAACAAAATTTCTCCATTGAATATCCTATGGTTCTTCTCCCTGGAAAATATGCTCTCCACCCAGCCCTCCTTATCTCCAGTAAGGTAAGCAATCTTACCTTCTCATTTGATAAATAAGTTTTCTTTGTCATAGTAATACAATTTTTCACCACTCTTGAAACTTCCCCATATTTCTTTTTCTTAATTATTTTATTTCTTAATACAATAGACAATATTACTGTGGTTATTCGGTTACTTCTTCATCTCCTGTCTTATTATCTATCACCTTGACTAAACTGCCCTCTCTGTACCACTGATGATAATGCCTTAAAACTATTTTCCTTTCACAAGTGTGATTCTAAATTCATGCTAACTTGATTTTAACACATCTCCGTCTGCTCATTCTCTGTTTACATTGATATCAGATATTCTACCGGCACCTAAATAATGGAATTTTCCAAGTTATTTTGAGAAAGTGAGCAGGAGGAAAAAGAAAGTGAGAGGAGGAATAAGACAGAGGAGACAGATTTCCTCAGAAGAGACCATCACCCCTACCCACAGATTTCAAAAACTCAATGCATTCTGATAACAACCTCTCCTAACTCCCGACTTAATCTTTCAAATAACTGGAAATTAAAAAGTTAAAACTGAGTAATATGAAGCATTGTTATGTTCTCATAAAAACCTACTCTGTTTACACAGCTCCCTCTTGCTGTTAAAGGTTGCATCTCTTACCAATTAACATGAAATAAGATTTGAATTTAATTCCCTTTCATCTGCAATATGTGATAAAATGCTGTGTATAATTTCGCTTGATAAGCAGCTTCTCCTTCAGTTCCATGCTTCCTTTTCTTTGCTATTGCAAAGACAATGTTCAGTACCCTCATATTCTCTAATAGAGACTCTTATAATAGCCTTCTTGAATTTCTGCCTTTCATCTTTCTCTGCTTGAATCAATCCAAATATTATTAATGTCATGTCAATCAAGTACTCTGTTCAAAACTTGTTCAAGTTCTCCACACTGTCTTTAGAAATAACTTTCAAATACCACTGTCTAGTATTACAATCCTCCACCAATTTGTCCCAGATTTATCTCCCACTGTTCTCTAAGCAACTAGACAAATATCTGCAGGCCCATCCATAGATGATTGCCTCTGAGCTTTTTAATCAAAGTATTTTCCTTGCCTATAATGATTTGTAATGTTTCATTCCCTCATGTAAAATGACATCAAGCCTCCAAATGGTGTTTTGGGAATAAATCTTTTAACTGCTCTTATTGTATGGTCACAAATTCCTCTTATGACATAAAGGTAACATCTGTCAAAATATATTATATTTGATATTTATATAATTATATTATAAATTATCTTGATCACATTTAAATATTTGAATATTGTTTAAAAATATTCAATCATATTAAAAGATTCTGATGACTCAACTATTTCACTTATATTAAATACTTAGGTAAGTATATGAGACAAAATATTCAATATCATGCATGTGTCAGTTCTGCTAATGGTAATGCAACTTGTATGGACTAACTTTTCCATAGACAGTGACAAACTATGTTTTTTAAAGAAGTTTAAAACCAACTATTTGAAGGTGCTTGAGTTTAGTTAAGAACAGACTGGACAGTAGTTCAGTTGAGGATATTCTGTCATTTATGTGGCAAGAACTCACATAGAAAGTACAGATTTATCAGTAGAAAGCTACAGATTTATCAGCTTTTAGAGTCACAGATCCAAGACATAACGTATATGATCAGTGAAAAATAAGGGGATATATTTAGAAACTAAAGTAGGCACCTTGAAACCTGTGTATAAAGTATCTCCCAAATCATTGATAGATGCCTGAACTACAGATGGAAACAGACCATAAAAGTTGTGACTGGAAAATTGAGAAAACTGGCATCTTCCCATTGCAAGGGAAGTCCAGTCGAGTCCAGTCAAATATGGAGCTTCTAGAACAAAAATTAACCCTCTTAAAAATATAACAGAATCCTGAAAACATATAATCTATAATATCAAGTATACAATGAAAATTACTATATGTGCAAAGAAACACAAAAAATCATAGTTGAGAGAAAAAAGAAAAACTAAACTGATCTTAAATGAACAGAAAGTAGAATTAGCATACAAGGACTTTAAAAGTCCTATACAAAACATATTCAAGAACTTTAAGGAAAATAGAATCATAATGAACAAAAATATGATGAAGTATAAAAATGAAAACTACAAAAAAATGAAAGTTCTGGAACAGAAAAGTATAATGTGTGTATGGAACATTAATGAGTTTAACTTTACAGCATATTGGAGATATAAGCACAGAAAAAAAATAGAAATGAATTATCTGTGGGACAATGCCTAGAAAACTAACAAATATGTATGTACATATTCAATATATGTACATATTCAATATGCATATTGAATATATATATAAACGTGTGTGTGTATATATATACACATACACATATATATATATGCTCTCCATACACACACACACATATGTGTGTGTGTATGTGTGTGTATGTGTATATGGAGAGCAAAGAGTGAGTGAATAAAGCAGAAAGTTATTTAAAGAAATAATGGATGAAAACTTATAAAACATGAACTTATGCATTCAAGAACATTGGTAGCCTAAAAATTATACAATTTCCCCTACCACCTCTACATACAAAATCACACTATAGAAAAACTGATGAAAAACAAAATTTGAAAGACAAAATAATTATAAATAGGATAACATCAATATGAATGATACATTAATTTACGTTTGAAACAAGGTTAAAATACAATAAAACATTTTTAAAAGGTTAAAAGAAAAAATATAACTATTAAGCCAGAGTTCTATATCCAGAGAAAATATTCTTTAAAAATAAAGATCTTTCACAAAAATGAAAACTGAAAGAATTGTTGTTAGCAGTTCTACGCCACACCATGTATACATTCTAACTTTGTACATTTGTATATATACTTGGATATAATCTGATCTTGCACTAACCTGATTTGCCTTCTGCGTCTCCTTCAAAATTTCTCCTATTATATTCTTTGCATTTCTTTAAAATACACTGTGATGCATTTATGTGTGCTACTGAACTTTAATCATGTAGGGCAGCAAGTTAACATTTAAAATATCTTAATTAAAAATCCTCCCTATAAGGATAGATAACAGCTGAAATACCTCAATTAGTGGCACTCTCCAAAGGCAGCTATTAAGTACTTTGATATGACTAATTATATTTGTACCTGAGCACTAACTAGCATAAGAAATTTCAGAAATAATTTTTAGTGGTATAATGAATGGTGTTTTCTCTATATGTTTATTATAAATATATTCTATAGTCACTGCTGCCTCTTCATAAATGGAGTATGTGTATCAAGAGCTATTTGTCTATAGAATATCTAGAGCACTATTTTATCTGTGCCCATCTTAATGTAGGATTATGATTCTAACTAAAAAGAAAAATAACGATTCCTGAGAGTGAAATACTGTTTCATATACTTCAGGGTAAAATGGTCATTGCAATGCTTCAAAGGGTAAAAATGAGTAAGAGCAAAGACTTCACCCAGCTTGTAGAAACAGACTCCATGACTAGTCTTTGAGCCTGCTTGTGAGTAAATGTTACATGAGTGGTCAAAGTCGGTTGAAATTTACTTTCATTCCCATTTCATACCATATCACCTAGTGTTAGAGACTCAGGGAAAAAAAATGTACATCTTTCTCCCACTAACATATATCTTAAGTCAGCTTGAAATCCTGCCCTCTTCTCTCCTCCCCAACTCACCTGTCTAGGAAAAAGTAGTTACAGAATCAACAAATCTTTGCATGTCATTTGTAAAATACTAATGTAAAATTTATTTATATAAATTATATGTGTGAATGTTTGTGTGTATCTGTTATGGTTTAGATATGGGGTGTTCTCCAAAAGCTTGTGTATGTATGATACAATGAAAGGACATTCAGAGGCAAATTATTAAATTATGAGGTATGTCACCTAGTCAGTAGATCAATCCACTGATATGGATTAACAATGGGGTTACTATAGCAGATAGGGTGGCTGGAGGAATAGATCACTGAGGGTATTTGGGGCATTTATATTTTGGCCTTTGTGAGCAAATCTATCTATCTCTCTCTCTCTCTCTCTCTCTCTCTCTCTCTTTCCTGGTTGCCATGATCTAAGCTGCTTTCTTCCACCACACACACGTCCATGATGGTCTACCTCACCTTGGAGTCAGTGACTGTGGACTGAATCTCTGAAACCATGAGCTAAAATAAAGTTTTCCTCCTTTAAATTCTTCTTTTCAAGACTTGATCATGGCAATGCAGAAGCTAATTAAAACAGTACATATATCTGTATTTATCTCTATTTATATATACACACATATATTCCAGTTTCATGGATAAGCTAATAAAAATACACATAAGAACACAATAGAGGGCTGGGGTAGCGGCTCAGTGGTAGAGCACTCGCCTATCATGTGGAAGGCACTGGGTTCAATCCTCAGCACCACATAAAAATAAATAAAATAAAGGTGTTGTGTCCAACTACAACTAAAAAATAAATATTAAAAAATGTTAAAAATCGTTCAGTAAATGAATATGACAAGAATTAATCAGGTCACAGGTTTATAGATGATATAGGTTTTAAAGGTCCAGAGATCATTTCTCTGTCTGGAGCAAACCAAGTCAGTACATTTTTACTGTTTCTATCTTTCTTGGGAAGAACTACTACAATTTTTGTTTTAAATTGAAGTTATTTTAAGTATCACTTTTATTGATGGCAGTGAATGAAACTATCTTACCTCCAAATGGTATCCAACTCTGATGAAGGCACAAAGTGGGTCAAAAGCTCCAGTACCACAGGTCAGAAGGTGCGTCCTATTATAATGATGTAAAACCCGAACATAATTTGCACATTCATTCTAAAGTGGAATCAAAATGAAATAAATTGATTAGTGTAATAGAAATGTTTAGCCATTTTTTTTAATTTTTATTTTCCCTAGTCCTTTATTCCACCTCCTATTTCACCATAAGTTGCCTTCAGTGGATGGTCAAAGGAAGCAGATAAGAAAAAGATAAAGGAAGAAACCAAGGTGACACACATTTTAGCAGAGAAGTGTGAATTCCATTTTACAATGAGAACAAAGCATTTTTCATGTATTCTAGATCATGAATGAGTATTTTTTAAAATGCACTGCTTAGATATGTATTCAGGCATAAAAATTTGCATGGCAATATGTTCCTCTATGTAATTAAGTTATTCTCAATGCTATTATTTTTAAGTATACCATAAACAATGAATCAACACAAGGTTAAAAAACAAATAATTAGAGACGGCTTCATTATTCAGAGAGAAATATACACAGACTGTAGGGCATTTCAGAATTTTGATATCTGGGAAAATATAACTTATACCCTCAAATCCACGTATTCATATAAAGCATTTCTAAGAGAATTTTCAAGTAAATAGAAGACTAACCAACAGAAATAACATCTCACTTTTAAGGTTATCTCCTAAGATTACTATTGCTGTGAGATTATAATCCAAGTTTCAACAAGTTTTTTCTATTAAGGATCAGGCTGTAAACATTTCCTTTGGTGGGCCTTCTGACCTCTGTTGCGAATACATGCAGCTATAGCATGAAAGCAGCAAAACAAAAATGCACATGTGTGTCAATGCTCCTAATAAAACTCAGAAATACCAACTACAGGCTGTATTTGGTCCAGAAGCTTCAGTTTTGTAACACTGGTTTTAAATGTAAGCTTCTTGAGAACAGAAACCTTATTTTACATATCATTGCATTTCCCAGTAAATCAAACACAGTATCTAGTATACAATATGTGCTTGAATACACTTTAATACATTAGTTACTAGTGGAGTTTTATGACTAAGATGTTGAGTGAAAAAAATGTTTAGAATTGTTTCAAAACCAACTGGCTAATTAATTCAAATACCCTGTTGGAAAATTAGGTATTACTATTTCATTAAAAATAAATTATGAGAGGCTGAGGCAGGAGGATTAAGAGTTCAAAGCCAGCCTCAGCACAAGCGAGGTTCTAAGCAACTCAGTGAGACCCTGTCTTTAAATAAAATACAAAATAGGGCTGGGGATGTGACTCAGTGGTCAAGTGTCCCTGAGTTTAACCCCCAGTACCAAAAGAAATAATTAAATAAATACATAAATTATGAAAGAAGTAGTAAACTCTTTGAATGGCAAATATTACTTTGATAATCATTATATACAATCATCATTTGTGTGTGTGTGTGTGTGTGTGTGTGTGTGTGTTTCTAGAGATTGAACCCAGGGCCTTGTGCATGCAAGACAAGCACTCTACCAACTGAGCTATATTCCAAGCCCACTGTGGTTATCATTAAATGTAATATTTTGTAAGGACAGATTGTGATTTCAACACTTGAATGTCTCATATAACAATATTAGGATGGAAAGACAAGAAGATCTATTTTACCATAAGAGATCCATATGACATAATATCCTTTAAAAGAATAAGGAACTGAATTAATTATCCAGGGCACAGATATATTTATTTAATTTCCCACTCTTAACAACATTTTATTCTGTGGGTAAGCCATATTAGTGATAGAATCTAGTCTTTCAGGCAAGAGGAAAATATTCTATCCTGAGATTTCTGTAAGTACTTGCTTCTCTTCTGTTGACACTGTCACCTCTTAAAGAGTGAACCAATTAGGATGCATTTTGGCTCAGTTGAGCTTAGATTGACATGGCCTAGGAGTATGTTCAATTAGTCAGCATCATGCTGTGGGCTAAGGCTGCAAGAATGTGTTGACTCAGTCCTTGGCTATGACCCAGTTGCTACAGAGAATTAGAAATTGAAGTAATATGTGTTAGTCATTTACATGGCATTTTCTTTTCCTAGTAAGGATGAATTTACTTTCAGAGAGAAATATGCAGGCCTTCCTCCCAGATGAGCATTACATTACATCAATCACCCCCTCCTAACACCTGAGGCCTTTTGTTGCCATGTGTCAGGAAAGACATTGTAAACAGCATTTCCCTTTCCACAGGGCTGGGGTAGTGGCTCAAAGGTAGAGTGCTTACCTAGCACATGTGAGGAACTGGGTTTGATCCTCAGCACCGAATAAAAATAAATAAATAAACTCACTGTGTCCATCTTAAAATAAATAAATAAATAAATAAAATAAAAGTTCAGATCCGGATGGCAGCTCAGTTTCTTTAAACTCTATATTGAAATTATCTTTTATATAATTGTAAGTTTACTGTATGTATGTATTTATATTTTCCTGCATGAACTACATTGCATCTGTATTTTTCAAGACCAAATAAAAGTTAAATGATTCAGTCCTTCCTTTGGGCTTGATCAGGAATATAATTGACAATTTGTGTAATTTACAATGAATAATACTTACTGCATCTTTTCCTTTCATTATGCATTCTTCTATTTTTACTGCTGTAGTAGGCCAGTGTATCTGAAAGAGAAGATAATTTACTATTATGGTATCTAAATATAAAAATAAACTACACTGAAAAACCATTTCATTTTCTTCTACAATTCAATATGTTTCTATTTTCCTCTGTTTTCTCAGAAGATAAAATGAGATTTTATCATCTTCACATAATTATTTGCATAATAAGAAACTTATCTATGAGCTTTTACTTCATCCTACCCTCTCTTCCCTCCCCACCAACACACACATACCATAAACTTTTCAAAGCCTCAGACCTGTAAGTCTGGTCACCCTTCAACCAGCCCTTCCCTGTGTTTAACCTGTCAAAACTTCTGCTTTCCAGTCTTTCTCCTGTACCCTCCTGCATTTTTACTATGTAGCACAGAAACTATTGTGTAATGAACTCTCAGTAATCCTTGCTGCACGAAAGGATTGAAAGTGACTCTTTAAATACTAATTTATAACGCATCACCCGCTGATATACCACACTACATCTTTGATTCTTATTTAAAACACCATTTATCAGTTTCCAACTGGATTTCAGAAAATTTTCATTTCAAGTTTGTTGGCTTCCTTCTTAAAGAGAAAATGTATCAAATCTGTCTTTTTCTTCTCCACCAATAGCTAGCAATCTGCTGAGATCACAAGCAGAAATCCATTAGAACTTATTAGACAGATTTCTGTGATATTTATCTTTAAAGAAATAATTTTCTTTGTTATTTTCTTTTCTCAGACTCCTTTTCCCCTCTTTTTGCTTAAACTATAGAATCAATCATTCTATATGCCAGACATTGTGCTAATAATTTTCTTTTTGTATTTTGCTTTATAAATGTCTGTGCAGAGGTTTGTTATAGTACTCAATTCATGGCTCACTATCATCATTGGTCTTGAAAGGCCTCTTTCTTATTTTAACTGTTTATTTCTGTCTCTTTCAACCGTCTCCATTCTACTTACATCCCTCCTCCAGGAGACAAATGTTGTATCTTCCTACTGGGTATATTTTTATTTGTTTGCATACATTTTTATAAGGATATACTATTGCTTTTGTGCATAAGTTTCTATTTTATGTAAATGGCATTGAATTTTATATCTTATCTTTACTCATCTTCTTCACTAAGAACTATGTTTCAAAGACCACTTGATAGGTTTCTGTACCCAGGTGGTCTGTTGTTTCTGATTGTTTTGTAATGACCAGGGATGTATCTCACTCATTTTCTTATCTACTCTCCCAGGGATGAATGCCCAGATGGCCTCCAACTCTCTACCACATCAACAATTTACCTATTTGCAAATGCTTCCTTGGGATCTGTTTAAGAATATCATTAGTATGTATAACCAGGAGAGAAATTACTGAGTTATTGGGTAAGCATGCATTGATCTGCGAATGTAGTGTCAGAATGCTCTCCAGAATGGCAGCATGTCTATACCAGCAATCCAATATCCCCCATCCTCACTTGGCATTATCAACTGTCTAGTATTTTGTGCTAAGCATTTTAAATACAATATCTAATATAATCATTATCAAATGTATCAAAGAGATGGTATTATCTAGGAAGCTTCATTTTTAAAAAAGCCTATTATTCCATGCAATCTAATGAAACCATAGATGTATAGGTGGAAACCAAGGATTCTGATCCATTTGAGTAACTGTAGCAACTGGTAAGTTCCCAGACATCTCTCCTACCTTGAGAACTTAAGCCTCCTAGCTAATAGTTTATCTCCACATGTGCTAGGTCAATCTCCCTGTCCCACCAAAATGAAATACTCAGTCTGCCTCCTTTCTTGTGTTCACCTCAGAATTCCATGGGAGCAAACCTAATGTGTCATTTTTGTGGACTCTGCTGGTCAGATCATGATGGACTTTATCTTTGAAGGATTCTGATTCTCAACAGAACACAATAGGTCTTGTTTGGGATTTTTTGTTTGATTTTCATTATTTCCAATAAAGCAGGGCTAGATCACAATTTCTTTGGTTCCCTCATCTTTTTGTAGGCGATCACCTTTATGCTGTCAAGTTATCATTATGGTGAAAGGAGTAGAAATGCCTTAGCTAAGTAGCATGGACCTCTCAAATTATTATTCATATTTTTACATACATCTTCTTCCTCCTTAGGAAGCTTAAGAATCTTTAGGAGTCTTTGTTAAGAAGGATTCAGGTAGAGCCTATTACTACACAATGTTTATTATTGATAGACTCTACTTCTAGCCCTCACTGGTAGGCCAGATTTTTTTCCATCTTTGGCAGTTTGTTCCCTTAAGTTCTCATAAGTGTTCTCTCCCTATACCCATTATCATCCCATTCTGTGCTCTGTCAGCATGGGAAAATGTTCTGGTTATCAAACTAAATATTGTTGCTGAATGAAGTTCATTTTTATTTAATGAGCAAGCTATTTTCAGGGTCCAACATTCAAAAAGGAGAAATCCTGTGTGTAAATCCAGATCTTTGGTTTCTCTTTACAAATTTTAAAGACAAGCCACACTGGGTATATGCATGCTTGTGAGATAGTGTTCCACTGGAATTAACATCTGAACTCTTCTTTCAATGGGTCGTGTACTCCCTGACTGGCTTCAGGTTTTTTTTTTTTTAATTATTATTATGCAACTCATACCTGTAAACATTTTAGGTTTTGAAATTTGATGTTTATGTTTGAATCTCAAATATGTTCAAAATTTAAGGGTTTTGTTTGTTTTTTTAGCCATGCCCCATGAAACATCAGATAAGACATTATCCAGAAATGGAAGAGGTTCATCACTTACCAACAAATACAAGTGCTGCCACATGAGTACCAATGGGAATATCTAGTGGCAATTTATTATAATAATTGTTATATGATTTAGATTTTTTAATCATAGCAATAAGCACTCTGTGGTTTGGATCATAGGTATAAAGTGTTCTTAGGTATTCTGATGTTCTTGTTAGTGCACTGAGTCCCAAAGAGCTTTCTGCTAATGATGTTCAGCATCAGTTGCTCTTTAGCTTTCATAGTATAGCATGTAACTTTTAAGTGAAAGCATATGCATTTTTGTATGTTGCCACACAGGAACAAATACAAAAGATAAAAACAGGGATATAAAATAAACACTATTTTTAAAGAAACCTAAAAATAAAACTCCTAAAGTATATGTTCTTAATTTTATCAGTGAATCCCTCAATGGATCATATATGATTTAGGAAAAATATCATATTAATATATCAATGTCAGTTTAGGTCACAGCTTTGCCTGAACCTGAGGAGAGTATGGATAGTGGAAATGAAAGCTACAGATACTTTAGACTTTACCTGACCTACTATTTTGGGGGGAAAAATGATTGCTCTGGGGGTTAGATTTTTCTCAGAGATTTCTAAGATCCATTCAACGTTGAGATTCAATTTGATTTGGGAATTATGATTTTATTATAGATGCATAAATTATTCAAATGGGTATTTAAGAATATGTACATGTATATATAGACTTTACATATAAAACAAAATGTAAATTCATTTTAGGATCATCTGCTACTGGAAAGATTTTCATTATTTATTTACTATCAACATGAATGCATTAGAGAATACCTCATCCATAATTAAGAATAATACATTATTTTTTAATATACTTATGTCAACAGGGATCTTGTTTTTAAATTATTAGCATAACTTCTTATTCATTTTTTCATTATTTAAAATGATGACTTCTTTAAACTCTATTTCTAGGCCATGATATCCTATATACTTTTAAAAACAATATATTTATGTTGAGTTGTAGTTGGACAAAATACCTTTATTTTATTTATTGTTATGTGGTAATGAGGATCAAACCCAGGGCCTCTTACATGCTAGGAGAGCGCTAGACTGCTGAGTCAAAACCCCAGCCCAATATCCTATATAGTCTTTAGATGTGGATGGACCTTTATTTTATTCATTTATTTATATGTGGTACTGAGAATTAAACCCAGTGCCTCACACATGCTAGGCAAGCGCTCTACCACTGAGCCCCAGCCCCAGCCCCATCCTATACATTCTTAAACCACAGTTTCATAAAGATTATTGTCAGGTAAACTACAGTATTTCTGTGCATCTTTTGACAGCTTTTAGTCCAGACTATTTGAAAAGTAGCTCAGTGAATTTTTCTGACATGTGCAAGGACCTGGGTTCTATCCCCAAGACCACAAAATGAAAGAACAAATGAATGAATGAGTAAATAAATTAATAATCAAACAAAATGGAAATGAGAATCTCTTTCCAGGGGAAATGGAAGATTTATTTTTTGACCAAGATATTAGATAATGTCTCTCTCTGGTGTCAAAGTATGGACACATTTGCTAATAGCTCCCTTATAAGACTCAGGTTTTTCTAAGCTTTAGGTTCCTCAAATATAACACTTATCCACCGTGTGTGCAGTCTTCTGAGGCTGCTATGCATCACCCCCTGTGGGACTTAGGGGCAAGGAAACTGATGGAAACATGAAGCTCTTGCAGCCTGCTGTGCCTGGGTAATAGAGTCCTTTGTCTCTGACCCAGGAGTCTAATGTTTTCTGACAGAATCTAGGAAACTGTGACAGGCTAACTTATCTTGAATATGAGGTAAAATTTCAGACCCTTCACAGTTTTGACACAAACAAAAGATAATATACTATGTGATGATGAAGAAAATAAATGGCTTTTCTAAAATTGTCAGAATACACATTGTTCCTAGCAGCAAACCTGATAATGGCAACTGCTCTAAGAATGACAAAACTATTCTTTCAGGCACATTTACCAAGTTTTCCACAGCAAAAACCTTTCCTGATATCTTTTCAACAGATATTTCTCCCTCCTTTGATCCCCCATAGTGTTCTTATTTTCTCTAAGCTAGAATGATTTGTGTATTAATTTTAGCTCTCTTATTACACTATAAATTACAGACAGCAAGACAGTCACTTATTTCCATATGCCTACCAAGGCCTATCAGAACAATGCTTTAAACATAGTCTCTGCTTAGTGTCTGCTAATTGACATGTATCAATGGACACACTTGTATCACAATAAACTTTGAGAGAGAAGAT